GGAAGAGGCCACCGCACTCCAGTCTGGGCGACAGAGTGAGACTCCGACTCAAAAAAAAAAAGAAAAAGAAAAAAAAGTCTCTTCAACAAGTGAGTGCTGAATGCTTCACATCAGCAAAACAATGCTCTCATGCCCTGCTGGTGACAGCTTCATCCTGCAGTATCCACCCAAGATAGTAATTTGGAAATTTGTGTTACAAGTCATAGCCATGTGGATACCATTTGGCTTGGAGATAAAAGGACTTGTTCCCAGAAATATCCCAGGGAGGGTTTAATAAATGTTCGGGTGAATCCTGTTTCTGGCACACATCCCCCTCCATCATGCCTACATTCACCATTAATGATTATTTGCTTCCAGTTTTGTCCTGTCTAGTGGTCCTCTGTGCCTCTTGCTGAGAGCCCAGGCTCTGCTGAATCCCCACTACCCGGGTGTTAAAACTCAAACTTCCACTTAAGCAGTCCTGTCTCCCACCACTTCTCACTGCAGACTCAATTGCCAGAGCTCACCAAGCTGCTTCAGGATGGCTCTTCACTGTTTCCTTGTTCCACCTTCACATTGTTCCCTCTGTCTAGACGATTCCTCTCCCTTTCCTGACACAAAGCAGGTACCCCATGCAGGAATACTGCAAGAGAAGAAAAAGTAAATGCATAAAGATATTCATAGCCACATTTTTTTTGTTGAGTTGGAGTCTCACTCTTGTCGCCCAGGCTATAGTGCAGTGGCACATTTACGGTCACTGCAGTCTCGACCTGCTGGGCTTAGACAATCCTTCTGCCTCAGCCTTCCAAGTAGGTGAAACTACAGGCATGCCCTACCACACCAGGTTTATTTTTTGATTTATTGTAGAGACAAGGTCTCTTTATGTTGCTCAGGCTGGTCTTGAACCCCTGAGCTCAGGCAATCTTTTCACCTTGACTTCCCAAAATGCTGGGATTACAGGCTTGAGACACTGTGCCTGGCCACAGCCACATTTTTAAGATAGCAAAAAAAAAAAAAAAAGGAGTCTCAAGGATAGAGATAAATGGAATATTATGGGACTGTCAAACATGATTATAGAAACTATAAAAATAGGTTTGTCATGATATATTGTAGGTGATCCCAGGTTGATCAGGTGATCACCTTTCTTTTCTAGGTCATTACTCATCATATGCTTAATAATCTAGAGAATTTTTCTGAGGTTTATGTTTAATCTTAGTTTCCAAAATCAGCTACCTCTAACCCATACCAAGATATCCTTTTTAACGCACATCCATGAATTCTCAAATTTCACTGCACTGACTCTGAGCTCACCTCTGCAAGTACTTTCTGTAGTTCAGATGATAGTTTTTTTATATCAGCACTTAGACTCACTCATATCTGTGCCTTATCAGAATTTGTCAGTGAAGCATGGAGATTTATTGGCAACAGGACAGAGCAGGTGGGATAGGAGTCAGATCCATCTAGCCAGATAGAAAGACATGGTCTGCAAAGGGCACACAACTTCAGCCTTTGGTTCAGGAAAACTGGAAGTTCAAGATGAACTATCAGGAATCAGTTATATACTATTAAGATGTCCAGAGATGCCGTTGTGTGTTCATGCACTTAGTTGTATATCCAAGCTAGAATAACTCAAAGTCTACTTGCTTCCAAAGAAAAATAAATCTCCATGGTGGAGATCTTCTGGTCTCTTAGAACTGCTAGGGAGCTGAAATAGGTACGCTTTTCTACCTTTTCATTCAACTAGTATTTGGTAGCTTAGATGTTTCAGAAGGTCTGAGATCCTGTGATATAACATCTTTTCCTAAGTAATTTAAGCCGTTCATGAATACCCCATTAATGTTCTCACCCAAGGTCTTTTCTCCAAAGCAAGCTGAGCAATCCTAATTTCTCTGTTTAATCAAAATTAGCAATTCACTCGTGTCATTTATTCTGGATGTAACGTTAAGTCTTCTCAGCTTTCATTTCAGAGTCTGGAAGTAGAAGAAAGTGGGGACTGCACTTCCGACTATGTGGTAGTGCACAGCGACGTAGAAAGGAAGAAGGAAATAGGTTCGTGTTCTCCAGGAGCCTCAGTTTCTGGTTTGCATTTGGACCCAGTCTTGGGATGTGAATAAAATGGATATGGCTCAATTTTCCTTCATTCCCCTACACCACCTCCATCTCTCCCTATGGTCTCAGCATTCATCTTCTTCTACATTAGGGGCAGGAAGAGAGAAAGAATCAAAGAACCATTGGAACAGAAAGTTAAAAAGGCCCACATGAGCTAGAAGTCAGAAGGGGGAAGTTCCATTGAAACGAGTCCTGTGGGTAGAACTAATTCCCTTAGCAGCATTTCTGGTGGGCATGTGTGAGAGATGAAACAGACTTTGAAATGTTTATGGGTTAATTACATGTTTAAAAGAAATGAGCTGGACACGGTGGCTTACACACTTTGGGAGACCAAGGCAAGAGGATTGCCTAAGCCCACAAGTTCGAGCAACATGATGAGACCTCATCTCTACAATAAATCAAAAAGTTAGTTGGGTGTGGTAGCACATGCCTATAGTTCCAGCTACTTGGAAGGTTGAAATAGAAAAATTTCCCGAACCCAGCAGGTCAAGGCTGCGGTGACTGTGAGCATGCCAGTGCACTCCAGCCTGGCTGACAGAATGAGATTCTGACTCAAAAAAAAAAAAAAAAGGAAAAGTGAACTGCCTTTCTGTTTAAAGATGAATTGTGACATTTATCAGAAAAGCTTATATCTCAAAAATCACCTAAAGGACAATTTCTTTTCTTCTCTCCAATGCCACATCTATTTGTTGGGCCCTGAACAACGTCTTGCCTGGACTGGGCTTCAACCAGCTCGGCTGTGTGGCTATGTTGTCCCCACCCCTGTGCTGAGCCCCTCCAGTGTCATGCTCATCAGTTTCCAATCAGAAAACGGGACCTTCAGTGGCTTTCAGGCTACAGTCTCCTTTGTTCCTGAAGCAGGTAAGAAAATAGAGGTGCCAACTCTTTGGTTCCCAATTCTAATCCTCATAATGTGGTTATAAAGGACAGCCCTACATGTATACAGTTGATTCTTATTATCTTCAGCATATATATCCTACAAAGTTACCACGAACACTGAATAAGAAAATTCTAAAACATCGCTCCTAGAAGATATATAGGATTAGGTTCCTGAGAACCTCTGGTACATTTTCATCAACCTATCAGTACATAACCCCATTTGATGTGTGCTTTTGCTTAAAGACATCTTATTTATTATACATAGTTGATTCATCATTAAGTTCATGGCAAGCAACACTGCAACCCACATCTGAAAGAAACTGACCTAACACATATTTTCTGTGTTGTCACATCACAGCCTCTTGCACTTAGGCACAGAAGATGGCGATCTAGCACTATATTTGAGGCCTTTTTAAACAGTGAGGTCACCAAGGTAAAGCACAAAAATGCAAAATCCATGGCACTAAATAACCATGAAAAGGACACTTGTTTATGGTAAGAAAGCAAAAATAAGAAGGTAAAACATTGCCTTGTTTCACCTCAGCTAAAATGTGTGTCTGACAAATTTTTTCATCACTCTGCCCATGTCTGTGAATCACCATGAAAACAACATGGAGTATTGCTTTGGGGGTTACAAATGAATTTTAGTGAGTAGGCGAATTGACTTATATGGAATCCAAGATGGATGATTGAGTGTAGGTCTGAATCTTGGCCTATCTTTACTAGATGCATGGTCTTTAAAAAGAGTCATCTAAGGTTTTTTTTTTTTTAAGCTCCACAATGGTAGAAGAATGCAAGACTGATAAGAATGTATTGAGGATTAAATCAGATAAGATACAGTTAGCCATAAGCAAGAGTACAATACATAACAGAGGCACAGAAATGTGAAATATTTTCACCAATCCCAGACCCTGAACACTTGAACTACCCAGCCAACTTTCTTCCATGTTCTCACACCCATGATCTCTATGTCCAAACTCTAGAAAGTAAGTTATCTGCTTCCCAAGTTATTCTCATTGAGCATTAAGCAGCTGCTGATGGCAAAGTCGGGTTATAGTTAAAACCTACCTCTCAGTTGAAATACTTAAGGAGTCTAGCTGGTTGAGGTGACCCAGAATTCTAACAGCTTAATACATCATTTTCTTTCCTTTCTTCCTTTTTTTTTTTTTGTTTTTTTTTTGAGTCAGAGTCTCACTCTATCACCCAGGCTGGGGTGCAGTGGCACACTCACAGCAACTACAGCCTTGACCTGCAGGGCTCAAAGGATCCTTCTCCATCAGCCTTCCAAGTAGCTGGAACTACAGGCATGTGCTACCATGTCCAGCTTATTTTTTTATGTATTGTGGAGACGAGGTCTCACCAATTTGCCCAGGCTGGTCTTGAACCCCTGAGCTCAAGCAATCCTCTTGCCTCGGCTTCCCAAAGTGCTAAGACACCGTGCCTGGCCTATAAATCATTTCCTAGCAAATCTCCAGCCCTGGCCTTCTTTTTGAATTGTATCATGCTTACTCCCAGATTTAAACATCTCCATATCAGAGAATGAGTCCATGTATCTGGAGACATGGGATGTGCCAACTGAAGAAGTCAACGCTTCTGGTAAGTAGTTTTGGGAAATGTTACCAAGTGATACACACAGAGTATATTTTCCAGGGTTCAACCAGAGAAGTAGGTGTTATGGATTGAATTGTCTTCTCCAAAAGTGTACTGAAGTTCTAACCTCCAGTATCCCAGAGGTGACCTTATATGGAGACAGGGTTTTTATAAAGGTAATTAAGTTAAAATGAGATTATTAGACCTGACCCTAATCCAACATGACTAGTGTCTTTGTAAAAAGGAAAAACGTGGATGCAGAGAGACACACAGACAGGGAAAACGCCATGCAACCATTAAAGCAGAGATCGGGGTGATACATCTTCTACCAGCCAAGGAACACCAGCTACTACCAGCAAACCACTGGAAGCCCAAGAAGAGACATAGAACAGATTCTTCATCACAGCCTTCACACAGAAGCAACCCTGCCAACACCTTGATCTTGGACTTCTAGCCTCCAAAACTGTAAGACAATAAATTTTTGTCATTCTAAACCATCCAATTTGTAGTACTTTGTTATGGCAGTCCTGGTAAATTAATACTCCAGAACTGGCTTGCACGATGGTGGGGTCTGGCTAAGCAAGTAAATTCATAGGGCAGGAAGTCAGAAAGGGAAAAAAAATCATAGGAACACTGAAATTTCACGGACTTGAGCTAAAGTTGTTCTTCATAGGCAGAATTCTTCTCTATTTGGGAGAAGCCTCAGTCTTGCTTTTATGACCTTCCAACTAACCAAGTCAGGCTCTCCCAAATTATTTCAGATGATCTTTCTTACCTAAAGTCAACTGATTAGGAACTTTGCATCTGTAAAATTCCTTCACAGCAGCACCTAGATCAGGGTTTGATTTTTAACTGTGGACTGTAGCCTAACCAAGGTGACACATCAAAAAAGCCATCACACAGAGCTGTATGGAATGTGGTCATTGTCCTTCTCGTTCAAAGCAACACTGAAATTTCCAGTCCCCAGAATCAAAATTCCCATTTCAATGGCTCATTTAGTGGGAATGACTGTATTTTGTGCCAAACCGTGGTCTGGCTCACAAGACCCCTCCACTAAAAAATAGTAAGCATGCCACGATGTTTTAATGCCAATGAGCATTGAGAAGTGCCGGACTTTCCTTTTTCGTTTCTCCACGACATCCATTGGCATATGTGCAACATCCTGTTCCATATGGACAATATCATGGTGAGGCAGAGTACAAGGGTGGGGAAGGTTTTTTAGTTTGCCGTTTTGATAGTTTTTCAAGGGAAACAAAAAACCACCTCATTTTTATTTTTACAAATTTTCGGACACTTAGAACACAGAATAGTAGAGAGTGTAGAGAATGTATATTCCTTTTAATGAGAAGTGATGAAAGCACTCTGAGTCTTTCTGTTCAGACTTCCCTGGCAATGACTTCATGATATATATATGCCCCAGGTGAAAAATATCCTCGTAACGCGTGGCTGCAGTGGTTTCCTTCTCTTGGCCACCATGGGGTACATTCAGCAAATCCATTTTTATCAACCTAAACCAAGCACAATATTTTCCAAGAAGTCTAATAACAATAAGACATATTCATCATTTTATCCTCAGCACCTACTTAAATGCCCAGAATACAGTAGGTGCCAAAAAAAAATTTGGTCAACAAAATTATATAATCAACAAATCATTTCTAAAGTAAAACTTCAGGAAGAGATACTTTCCTGATTTTTTTCTCACTGAACTCATACCCATTGAGGATCTTTTTAAAAATATAAATGCATAAAAACTTCAGAAGAACAAGAAAAAGAGTTTACATGTTCCCTATTTTATTTTTTTTATTTACTAATGTTTGGGTCAGGATCTCACTCTGTCACCCAGGCTGCAGTGCAGTGGCACAATCCTGGCTTGCCAAAACCTCCAACTCCTGGGTTCAAGTGATCTCCTGTGTCAGCCTCTCAAGTAGCTGGATTACAGGTGTGTAGCAACATGCCTGACTAAATTTACTGTTATTATTATTATTATTATTATTATCAGAGATGAGGTCTTGTTGTGTTGCCCAGGCTGGTCTTGAACTCCTGGGCTCAAATAATCCTCCCACCTCGGCTTCCCAAAGTGCTGGGATTACAAGGTGTGAGCCACCATGCCTGACCGTACATGCACCCTATTTTAAATATCACACCTTACTTAACTCATTCAGTAAGCAATTTCATCCCTCATTTTTTTATTTTGAGATTTTGTAAATCTACAGAAAAGGTGAAAGAATATTACAACAAATAACTATACAAATATTCTCCCCCAAAATACTAGTGTATTTATTATGTGTTTAAACTTCAGTCACCTTCAAAGTACTCTTTGTTTGATGCAATACATCTATCAAGATGCTTTTCCCAGTGCTCAAAACAGTTTTTGGATTCATCAGTTTTGAGGCCTTTTAGTGCTTCTGCCATTTTATGTGTCACCTCTTCCACATCAGCAAGATGTTTCTCTTTTTTGTTTCCGGGGAAACAAAAAAGTCACTATGGGTGAGATCGGATGAATAGGGCAAGTGGGGCATGGGTGTGATGCTGTTTTTGGTCAAAAACTGCTGAACTCCCAGCATGGCATGGTCTGGTACATTGTCACAGTGGAAGAACTGGTCACCTGTTTGCACAAATTGGGATACACAACAAAGCTAGCTGGTACATGATGTCATTGGGTTTCTAGAACACTTACCTAGCTGGGGAAGCCTGCCCTCCAAAAAGTAATTCCAGATTTTTTTTCAGTCCCCCATCATATATCCCTCCTGTACATTCAATTGTTGACATCCCACCATACTGGCTTAGGAAACATTTAGTGTCTTCTCTGTATGAATCTCTATACCGGAGCCCAGGGCAGAGGGGTACAAAGATGAACAAATATAGTACCTATCTTCAAGAAACTTTTATTATAATAATAAAAATTGAAATTATACAAATAAAGGGCAAAATGGTGAGACTGCGATGAGTTGTGATTTAATATCTCTAGAGAACAAAAAAAATCATATTCTATGATTTCTATTTAAATAAAATTAAAATCAGTCGAAACTAACATATGGTGTTAGAAGTCAGGGTAGCAGTTATCCTTTAAGGAAATATTGACTGGAAGGGTTCATGGTGCTTCTTCTGGAATTCTGCTAGTTATTCTGTTTTTTGATGTGGATTCTAGTTATATTTTTTGAAAATTCATTGGGCTATGTAATTATTACTCATGTAATCATCTGTATTTATGTTATATTTGAATAAAATTCACAAAAAGAGAAAAAAGTATTCAGAAAACCATAAAACAAGAAAGAATTGACATGACCTCTGGATGAAATGATCAGGAAACTGGCATTTAGAATTGGTCCCACAAGGGTAAGTAGGATCTCAACATTATTCTGTATACTATGGGGCGCCCATGGATGGTTTCATTCTGGAGGATGATGTGCTTGATATCCACTTTAGGTGGATAATTTGGGAGTGTGAAGAGGATAACCAAAGATTAACTACAGGGAAAATAGAACAGGTGAGCCATGAAAAGGACCCAAACCCTCCATATTACCTTGTAATAGAATACCTTCTGCTGGGTGTGGTGGTTAACTCCTATAATCCCAGCACTTTGGGAAGCTGAGGTGAGAGGATTGTCTGAGCCCACGGGTTCCAGACCAGCCCAGGTAACTTGGTGAAACCTCATCTCTACATCAAATTAAAAAAATTAGCCAGGCATGGTGGCACATGCCTGTAGTTCCAGCTACTTGGAAGGCTGAGGTGGAAGGATCGCCTAAGCCCAGCAGGTTGACGCTAGAGTGGCCATGAGCGTGCCACTGCACTCCAGCCTGGGTAATGGAGTGAGACTCCAACTCAAAAAAAAAAAAAGAATACCTTCCATTGGGGTAGAAAAGGGATGTGACATATGTTGTGGTATTAGATCTAAAGTGTTGGGAGACTAGATAGTTGGAGCAAAAAAGAGAGAAGCTAAAAGTGAGTTTGATATTTCACTCCTGGGTGAGACATCCACTTTCAGTCATGTATAAATTTTTTATCTCTCTAGAGTACATCAAGCATTTCTCATCATTCCCAGAGTCTATCAGAGTGCCCTGGGAGACAAGGAGGCCATAGCCAGTTCTTGGCCATGCCGGGTCAGCCTGCAGATTGCCACTGAGCATCTCTGTGGAGAGACCATCATCCTGGAGATCTGGGTAGTCAGCACTGTTCATTGCTTCACCAGTAACAGTACTTCTGGGAATTAATTGTGGTGGGGGCTGATGGTCTAGGTTGAATGATTTTTTTTTTTTTTTTTGAGTCAGAGTCTCACTCTTTTGCCCAGGCTGGAGTGAAGTGGCACACTCATGGCCACTGCAGCCTCGACCTACTGAGCTAAAGTGATCCTTCCACCTCAGCCTTCCAAGTAGCTGGAACTACAAGCCCAGCTAATTTTTGATTTATTGTAAAGACAAGATCTCACCAAGTTGCCCAGGCTGGTCTCAGGCAATCCACTCACCTTGGCCTCCCCAAGTCCTGGGATTACAGACTGAGCCACCAAGCCCAGCCTAATTTTTTGATTTATTATAGAGACGAGATCTCACCAAGTTGCCCAGACTGGTCTCGAACTTGTGGGTTCAAGCAATCCTCTCACCTTGACCTCCCAGATACTGGGATTATAGGCGTGAATCACTGCAAGCTGCCGGTTGGTTTCTTCTTTTTTTTGATTCAGAGTCTCACTCTGTCACCCAGGCTGGAGTGCAGTAGTTAAATCACAGCTCATCACAGTCTCAACCTCCTGGGCTCAGGCAATCCTTTCACCCCAGCCTCCTGAGTTGCTGAACTACAGGTGTGTGCCACCATGCCTGGCTAATGTTTTGATTTTTTGTAGAACAAAGGTCTCACTATATTTCCCAGGCTGGTCTTAAATTCCCAGTCTCAAGCAATCCTCCCACACAACTTCACAAAGTGCTGGGACTCCAGGCATGGGCCACTACCCCCAGCCTCTTCCTAGGATTTTTAAAGTCGGAAATTAATATTGAATTTTGTGAAAATACTTTCCAGCATCTATTGAAATGATTAAATAATTTTTCTCCTTTGACATATTAATATGTTTAATGCATACTAAATAGATTTTCTAACATTCCTACACTCTGAAATGAATACCAGTTGGAGAGAATACAGTCATCTTTCAATGTACTGCTGGGTTCTGTTTACTAACATGTCACTTAGATTTCTCCATCAACATTCATATTGAAATTCGCTCAAGTATGGTCTGGAGATCAAAGATGTTTTTACAGTGTCTGTGAGGTCAAAACTATCTTTACAGTAATGCTAAGGCATTATTCTCCCTTTTCATTCTCAGTCTATTAAGAGTGTACAGTAGAGTTTTCCAGAGTCTACATAATATCTGATATCGCAACAGATTGAATGTAAAAAGGAGATAAGAAATTCCATCTGTCTTCTATTTAGCCAAACATTAAAAAGTTTTACAAAGCCAGATGCGGTGGCTCAAGCCTGTAATCCCAGCATTTTGGGAAGCCAAGGCGAGAAGATTTTGAGTTCAGGGGTTCGAAACCAGCCTGGGAAACTTGGTGAGACCTTGTCTCTACAATAAATAAAAACATTAGCCAGGTGCGGTGGCACACACCTGTAGTTCCAGCTACTTGGAAAGTTGAGGTGGAAGGATCCCCTGAGTCCAGCAGTTCAAGGCTGTGGTGGTCGTGAGCGTGCCTGGGTGACAGAGTGAGACTTCAATTCAAAAATAAAAAAATTTTTAAAAAGAGTGTACAGCGGAGTTTTCCAGAGGCTACATAATATCTGATACCTCAACAGATTGAATGTAAAAAGGAGATAGGAATGACCAGGTGTGGTGGCTCAAGCCTGTAATTCCAGCACTTTGGAAGGCCGAGGCGAGAGGATTACCTGAGCCCAGGGGTTTGAGACCAACTTGAGCAACTTGGTGAGACCTCATCTCTACAATATATCAAAAAATTAGCCGGATGTGGTAGTGCACGCCTGTAGTTCCAGCTACTTGGAAGGCTGAAGTGGAAGCTTCACCTGAGCCCAGCAGGTCAACACTGTGGTGGCCATGAGTGTGCCCCTGCACTCCAGCCTAGGTGACAGTGTTGGGAGCCAACATCTATAGCTACATGGCTGAGGCCTGTAAGGGCCCATCTGGAGGATCGCCTCTAACATAGGATATCAGTTATACCTATAATATTGGCGTGTGATTAGTGACCAGTGTGTATACATGGCAGTAAAACTTATAAGTAAATATCAATATGCCTGATGGAAAGTGCATAGCAGAATTATTTTTCTCTGTCTTTCTAAGTTTTACTTCTTTCTAGATATTTTTTAACTTCTATTTCCTGGTAGACTGGTTAGTTAGCCTTGTTCCCAAAGGCAGTTTCTCCTAGGATTAAGATTAGAAACTAAATTATCATAATAGTTTTATTGCCCTGCCCCTAGCCAGGCAGGACGTTTTTCTAGTTTCGTTACATGCCGAAACTCCGTTTGCTTCAGCCCGAGGTCATTGTCATGGTAACCGTGCAGCCCATTATCCAAGAGTGTGACAGCTACTATTTGATTTTTAGAATAGACTTGTTTGGATAAAACATACAGTTAAAATGATACAATTTCCATCAAAAAGATTTAAACAGTAATAAGCATTCATAGAAAACTTTTAAGTTTTGTTTAAGCTTTTAAGTTTCCTTTTCTCAGATTATGACTTTAGTTCCTATTCCTGTAGGCCAATTTTAAGATCCTTTGATTAGTATACCGAAATTTTCCCAACGGTGCTGTTTTTGCTTCTAATATGACAATAGGAAATTTTACACATAGCCAAGTATTAATATACTAGGAAAAAAGATTTAAGTTTTGGGTTAAAGCCGTCGTTTTATTAGAATAGAATGAGAATTATGGTGTTAGGATTTTAAAAATCATACGTTAATGATAATTTATAAGATTTAATGATAAGGTATTAGCTTAA